GCTACACATTTTCAAAGTCTGGGAGCGCAAAGCGGTCGCTGGCTGATCGCGGTAGGTGTGACAGGGGTATTAGTTTCACAAGTTTGCCGCCTGAGAGAATTACCTCTCACTTATATCTCACACAAGTTATATCTCACACTTATATCTCACACAAGACACAACTAAGATTACATATTACATTTACATTTCGCAATTGCACACATGCATTCGGAAAAGAAACAAATATTCATCTACTCTACAACCCCAGCCTTATGAAATATTAAAAGCTCCGGGGCCCTATTATCGTTTAGGTGCCATTATACCACGTGTAAGCGAGTAAGTTACTACCTTGCTGATGACTATATTGAGGTACCTTGGTTCTCTCTGCCAATCCCTCGAGTCCCACCCATGCACGCTCAGTTGGGCCTCGGTCAGGTCGTTTCAGTTTGTGCTTGTGAATATTCACGTCAGTTTTGAAGTCCGGTAGATCAGGACGGTACCAGCGCGAGGCTATCAGCGGCCGACAAGCCCTCGCTCCCCTGCTGCTGATGCATAGCATGTTCACCTGAAAGCATAACAAGACCCTGTACCTCTCTGTATTTATATCTGGACTCAGTTTACATGCAGCATCCTCTCAATTTGTTGTAACTGCATTTATACAGGGTCTTACGTGCATGTCGCGTAAAAGCAAATCATCCATAATATAATATATATATATAAATAATAATAATTATAATATAATAAAATATAATATATATGATTATTTAGTATATTATATACTACACGCAATGTAGTGTAATATATATATATATATATATATATATATATATATATAATATACCGGGCCTGACATTAAAGACTGCCCGATTGCCCAGGGCAAGTAGAATGGACGTTCGGGGAAGTGCAACGAGGGTCTAACTTTCCCGATCGGGCAAGTGAAAAATTCTAAATGCACCAACAGTAAAAAGTCCAGTCAGTCTCCTGTGTATGTTATTCTGTTTATTATTTGTGGGTTTTTCAATAATCACATATACTAGTTGCAAAAATAAAGTCAAACGGTAGCTTACGTGTGGGGAATACATATTGGGCTGTAGTACATACGCACGTGAAACAGTGTATTACGGCTAGCGCAAATAGTGGAGTGTCTGTCTGTACGAGCGAGGAGGATCGATTGTTTATAGTATGTGAACCACGAATGCGAACCACGAAGTCTCTTGCGGTCGGGGTCTGCTGGCAAAGGCGGCATTGATTGAAGTATGGGGGGGGGCACACAATTGTTTCAGCGTGGTACTAATCACTACTAAAATGTAGGGAGTGGGCATTGCTGGACTATGAGAGAGCAACAGCAAAACTCTTTCCTGGAATTGAGGAAAAATCTACAATCGGGAATGACACACGAGTGTGCCGGCAAGCAAAAATAAACGTGTGAATTTCATTACGAATTTCCATGGATTCCCGTTCTATAATCCTACGAGTCGTTGGTCCTACGGGTCTACGTAGGCATGCCCCCAGGCACACCCGCACACACACACACAGGCACGCATGCATGCACGAGCGCGCGCAGGCACACATGCAAGCAAGTTTCGGGCAAGTGAGATTGACATTGAGGTGAACTACAAGTGGGTTGAAAAATTAATGTCAGGCCCTGATACACGTGCCATATATATGCAATATAATCTGTCGCCTGGAGTTGCTAGCGTGTCACTGGTGTTATACTTAGGCTGCGAGGGTCTATGTCCCCCAGGGTACTGCCGGAACGTACCCTGGTACCAGAGCATATAAATCAATGTGATTTACATGCTCTGCTGGTACTATCTAATATGCCGGACCGTACCTCGAAGCGCCTACTCCACTAACGAGTCTAGGGAGTCGCCTACACCTACTCCCTAACCCTATAACCCTAACCATATCAGATAGTTACCAGGGTACGTTCCGGCTGTACCCTGGGGGACATAGACCCTATGAGCTATACGCACCTAGCTTCCAATGCTGTGTCACTGCCGTTAAATAAACACGGTTATTACTAGAGCCGGTCTTAAACAAGCACTTGGAGCGTTTCAATAAAATATAATGCTAAATAAATACGAAATCTATTTACTACCAAAGTCTTAATGTTTCTATAGGTACTCTCTTTCACCTATTATTGCCGACAATTTTCTGTAAATCCCGTCCAAATGCTCATGTGCAACAAACGCTGGCGGCCGCCATTGCTCACGCTGCAACCAGCATTGTTGCACATGAGCATTTGGACAGCATTTACAGGAAATTGTCGGCAATAATAGGTGAAAGAGAGTATAGAAACATTAAGACTTTGGTAGTAAATTAAAATAGATTTCGTATTTATTTAGCATTATATTTTATTGAAACGCTCCAAGTGCCTGTGCGGTCTTAGGTCGGATTGCGATTGAATCCGTCTAAAGGCCCGTCTCCACACACGCAGCGCGGTACAAAACGCCACGGAAACGGCGCCGTTCACCACTACCGGCAAAGTTCAAATATATTAAATCTTATGGCGCAGTCTCCACTGACACGGCACGGTGCCAGCCCAATTTCACGGCGATGGCAAAAGTCAAATATGAGTTTGACTTTTGCCGGATGCCGTGTATGCAGAAAGACAGTTGAACCAATCAACGCGATTGTTTTTTCTCACGTGTTCTGCTCACGCCACCATCAGCCAATGGACAACAAGCACATGCATAAGTTCTGATCACTGAACCAGAGTGAACACAATGCGCTCAGATACAATTCGCGGCGCAAACACACTTTCCTACCGGCCATAGCAGCGCCTGTATAAGCCTATGGGCATTACCGCTCGTGAATAATAGCTAATTAATTAGACTAATCGTGCGTCAATAAACTCAAAACTCACAGGGATTATGGCTAAGACATGTGTCTACATGCATGTAGAATTCTAGAAACGTAACTCAAATCGTTCGCAAGATATGATAGTTAAATACACTTTCCTACCGGCCACAGCAGCGCCTGTATAAGCCTATGGGCATTACCGCACGTGAATAATAGCTAATTAATTAGACTACTCGTGTGTCAATAAACTCGAAACTGACAGGGATTATGGCCAAGACATGTGTCTACATGCATGTAGAATTCTACAATTATAACTCAGATATGAAAGTTAAATACACTTTCTTACCGGCCATAGCGTGATAGCGTGTGTGCAGGGGAGGGGGGGTGTTAACAGCTGTATACAATGCGCCCAGTACAGACAGTACAGGCGGGCGCGGTAGGGGTGTACCGTAGTATGTGACGCTCGTTTTGGAGGTCCGTAGGAAATAGTAGCCATGCTCTTTTGTTTTCTTTTTGTTTCGCCTTGTAACCTGACACACATAACACAGTCTTACTAACTTACTACATTGCAAATTGTTTCAATCAAATGTTTCTGTGAGTGACCGGGTTGTCCGCCATGTTTGTTTATTGCGACCGTTTTCGATGGGCGAGATGCGCAGACGACTACTGAGCATGCTGCGCATGCGGCCTTGCAAAACAAGAGGCGCCTGCCCGCATGCGCACTTAGGAGCGTCCAGTTTTGGGCGAGCGTCCAAATACTACGGTACAGGGGGTTCGGAGTCGGGTGCCGGCATATTGACCAGTAGGAAAGTGTATTTGCGCCCTGCGCAGGCCTGCGGCAACTGTACGCGGGCTATAGTACTAGAGCGACGCGTGAACTAGCTCTAGTAACTGTACGCGAGATATAGACGTATATGCTCATAGGGTCTATAGCTGCGTTCACACGTATACACGGCCTAGCTGGTATCGTACTTAGTTGGTGCTAAGTTCGGTTAAAATGCGTTCACACGAGATACACGAGATTCGAGGCTTAGCTAGCTAGGTATAATATAGACTGGTAACCGGTCGACAGTTCCACGCGCTACACTAACGTCGTGCAGCGAACGGGTAGCAGTCTAGGTTAGCGCGCTACAGTTTCGCAATTCGAATTTCAAACAATACGCGGCCAGCGTGGTGCCGAATATATGCGGCTTAGTTGGCGCGGAATATGATTCCGCGCTAAGCAAGCCGGAGCAATCACGGCTAAGCAAGCGTGTGAACTCTTAAATACGGAACTAAAATCCTCGTGTGAACGCAGCTTATGTCACCCAGGGTACTGCCGGAACGTACCCTGGTAACTATCTGATATGGTTAGGGTTAGGGTTAGGGTTAGGGTTAGGGAGTAGTCGTAGGCAACTCCCTAGACTCGTTAGTGGAGTAGGCAAGGTACGGGCGGGCATATTAGATAGTACCAGGGTACGTTCCGGCAGTAACCTGGGGGACATAGACCCTCTCAGCGTTACGCTGTTAGTGTTACTAGAGCTACGCGTGAACATGCACGATATGGCACAAGTACACTTTCCCACGGGTCCAGGGCTCGAATTAACCGACGGCACCGACGGCAATTGCCGTAGGTGCCCCTATCAATCGCCGTACTGCCCCTGAAAATCCAACCCGACCGACGGCAGTCACCTGCCTTGCCCTTTTGTGTAATTGCCGTCGGTGCCCTTTATTCTACTGCACTAGTTTCGTTTTTAGTCGAGTCAACATAACACGTGCGCGTGCGTGCTGTAGTTGCAATGATGAGCTTAAAACCGATAGTCGCAGGAGGGAATAATAACACTGTTACAGCATCGGATAATTATTTGCTCCTGATAGCGGGCATGTAAAATTTCTTGTTACTGTACTTCCATTGGCAGAAGGGGNACCCTAGCTACTCACCTGTCTCAATCAGTGATGTCACATCCTAGCTACTCACCTGTCTGCATCAGTGATGTCACATCCTAGCTACTCACCTGCCTACATCACTGATGTCACATGCTAGCTACTCACCTGCCTACATCACTGATGTCACATGCTAGCTACTCACCTGGCTCTAGCAGTGATGTCACATCCTAGCTACTCACCTGCCTACATCACTGATGTCACATGCTAGCTACTCACCTGGCTCTAGCAGTGATGTCACATCCTAGCTAATCACCTGCCTACATCACTGATGTCACACGCTAGCTACTCACCTGGCTCTAGCAGTGCTGTCAGGTTACACCTGTCGATAATCTTCAGATCGGGACTCCACTTGCGTGCTTCCGACACGAGGTGACGAAATTCGGAGCACAGCTCGGGAGCGCCACCTATACATGATGCACGATAGAATATACCAGCATTGCCATCTACGCAAAGTTTCATAAAACTACAATACAGTAATAAATGCTTAGATATTTTTGAATAGCAACGAAATTAGCTGTCGCTATTTTTTAATTTACTATGAAATAATAGTAATTAAAATAATAAAATTATAATTATTATTATTATTATTATTATGGCTACTGTTATTTTTTTCCATTTCAGCCATTTCAGGGGTGAATAAAAAGTCGAATAAAAATCTTTTTATTCACTCCTGTTAACATTATATTTATTATTTTGGTTTTTTTACCAGTGATGTCCAGCGTATTAAAGTCAGGGCTGTTTTTAAGCACAACAAGGCATCTGTCCGTGGTCTCTCTGTTCATCATCTCTTTGCGCTTGGGTGAGGATTCGACATGGCAATGGTTGCACGCCTGGTTGCAGTAAATGCCTATGTTCAGCTGCAGGATCTCCACCTTGCTCTTTCTCAGCCATTTTTCTCCTGTAGTCACAGACGGAAAACGACACACTGAACTCACCGACTTGGTGCACAGCCAGAGCAGTGTCACACCTCTGTGAATCAGAAAAACAATCTATAACTGTATGTGTGCGTGCGTGCATATGTGTGCATGCAAATGCTTGCG